TCACGTGATGTTGAATGTGTATTGTATATATATATATATATACAAATTTAAACCTATGCGAAACACACGACTTACGACCGTACGACGCACTTGTTATTTCGGTTTTTGTTTTATCAAGGACATCCCATTAGGATTCAAAAGTTACTCTCGCACCATTCAGACCACCACCACAGAGTCATTTTCAAGTCTTTCACCCTTCGCCCTTAGTTTTTTTTTTTATTATTATTTCCACGTCGTGTACCTTTACATATGAAGCAGTGTTCTCGTCGTTGTATTATTTATCGTTATTATTATTATTATTATCATCATCATCATCATTATTATACAACGGGTGCGCGTACATCGTCTGCCGGGTATGTATTATAATCGTACATGGCACTATATGACAGTAAAATTTATAATATAAATATATATAATAATTATATTGTACGTGAGTAATTGTAGGTAATTAAAAAGTTAATTCCGTTTGTGCAATAATTTTTGTGCAAGGCACACGCGCGCACAACGGCTTCAAATGTTCGTGTAACAGTATTATCATTATTATTATTACAGACATCATCGCTATGACACCAAAATAAATGAAAACATAGTCGTATAGACGTGTTAAACATGATATTGTGTACCTACTGTTTATGTGAACACGTAGGGATGGACATTATATGCGTTGGTGAGTCAACAAACTCGTGACAAAAACTTTCACCACCGAAATCATAATTTCATTTACCACTCAACGACGTGCGTGTAATCGTAGATAGAATGATAAAAAAATAAAGCGAACAAATAATGTTTCTTTAACTGGGGAGAACACGCCAATTGTTGAATTCGTTGAGACTGCCATAATCGGTTGACGTCGTAGATAAACCGAATCAGTCAGCAGATAATTGCGAAATCTTTTATTAAATGGTACCTATAAATAGGTACCATCGTCATTTTGAAAAAAAAAGTAAAATCATTTTATCACAATTGAGAAAATACAAGTAAACCTGCAGTATATTAGTAATTTTGGAGATTTTTCACATTTATGCATACACTGGGTCTCGAGACCAAAACGTAGATACCTACCGAATTTAAATATAATATAGATATGGCTGGTATAGGTATGTATAATAAGTAGTTTGTTTTTCACAATCGGAGCTTTTTCAGTTTCTATGTCATCGTTGTGATATTACTACTGTATCTCGTTGTGAAAGCTACCTACGTCGTAGGAACTATAATAATATGATAAATTGTATTTGGCAATGGTACAAGAGTGGTATAGTAAATCGCATACAAAATTATATTTTCTCTCTTTTTTTGTGCTAAAAATTATTTAAAAAATTGTTTATCGCCTGAAAGATATAAATAATACATGTATTTGAAGTTAAGTATATATGTAACTAAAGGAGTATTGTAGTGTGTTTAAACTTATAATCGATATTTGGAAATGGTTCGTATTCTCTTTAGTTAAAGAGAGTCAATAGAAACTTCCAAGTATTTTTTACACAATGTATTACATATTATATTTATTTTAATATCATATTTTAGATTCTGAGCAGAGCAAAGAATGTATTGATTTTACCATGGTGTGTCATGTGTGTTTTTTTTGTGTGTCTGTCATCACGTTTTGGGGCAGTAAAAGTGTTTCGATTTTCAAATTCAGTACCTCGTTCGAACAGAAAATGAATCTATTTGGTACTTTGGGGGGTAAATTCTTTTTCTAA